AAGACTATTTTACACCTTTGTTGACAGCTCAATCAAAATCGTAAAAATAAAAATAAAAATAAAATAAATAAAAAAATTAAAAAGTAATAAATAAAAAAAAAAAAAAAACTTCAAAAAAAAAAAAAATTAAGAAAAAAATCGCCAAAATCAAAGTTTAGCTTAAAACGATATTGTATTTATAGAATCCCTAATCCTAATAAATATATCACAATGACACAAGTAACCTTTGTAATAAAAAATAAAACAAAATTAATAGCAGTCCAACAATCTTTATATGTAAGTGCTGTCAAGGGAAAACCTGTCATCAGGCTTTCAATTATATTTTGTAATCTAATTATTGGCCTTATCTTTCAGAATTTTCTATGATTTCTGCACTTCTCGATCCGTCAACTAAATTCGAAACCCTTGACAATGAGGAACGTCAGTTAGCTATAGACAAGTTGGATATTTTATATTCAATATGTGTTAATAAGGTGGTTATATCACCTAAACAAGGAAGTTTGTTGGACAGTTTTTGTGAATTAATTAAAATAAGTAAAAATGAAAATGAGATAAAGGATTTAATGGAAGATTTAACAAAAGAATTAGCCACCTATCTTGCATTACCTTTTGAGCCAGATATAAACCCACTGATATGGTGGAAGAATAATTCTTCTCATTTTCTAACTATAGCTTCTATCGCAGCGGATTACTATGCACTTCAAGTTACAAGCGTTCCATGCGAATGTGCTTTTTCTGTTGCAAAACATACGATTAATCTTACATGAAATCGTCTTCTTGAACAAACAACTTGAGCTTCGTTGTGTTTAAAAAATTGAATGGAAGCAAAAATTTTAAAATAGATGAATATAAAATAATTATATATATATATTTAGAATTTAAACCAGTGTATGTATAATTATAAGATAAAATATGTTAGGGTTAGAGGTAGTTTTGTTAGCGAAATTTTGTTATTATATGTACCCTGTATGCAAATAGATAAAATATATACTTGTCGTTATCATATATATGATCCTATGACTTGCATGTGATTATTACTATGAGATTAATGGGACTCGGTCCCAAGTCTGACTCGGGACCGAGTCTAGATTAAAACTCGACTCATGGAGTCGGACCGGACCGGACCGGACTTTTAACATCCCTACCCATGGGGCATGCCTCCAACCCTACCTGGCATAGACGAAATAAAAATATTTATTGGCACTTCGCATTCAATAAATATATAATTAGATAATTTAAGTTTCGAATAAATTTGACTTTTTCTTTCTTTTGCAATAAAACTTTCATATCGAATGAAACTTGGCTTTTTCTTTTTTACACAATAAAAATTTTATAATATTTAACATTAAAGTTTTTAAAACCCCTTACATTTACAAAAAATGCTTGGTTTTGCGATTACATAACTGATTTTGGTGGTCATGCTAGAGGTTTATGTATGAGGGGTTTCAGAAATGAAAAAAAAAAATGCGCATTCAGAAATAAATAGGAGTATTAAAAATCATAATTTTGAAATCAGAAAATTAAATGAGTGTCAGAGTTCTTATTTTGAAAATAAGTGGGGGTCTGAAAGGTCTTATTTTTGTTCTGAAATTTCGAAATCAGAAAATGAAAAAGGAGTTGTCCGGAGATAAATAAACAAACTTTTTTATGATGTATAATATGTCTTATTATATAAATAGGCTTTCAAATAAAAACAAATAGGATCTATAGATCGCTGATTATAAAATAAATACGTCGCTAATTTAATTCGAAATCAGAAACCTGAACCTTAGGTCTGAAACCCCCTATTTTGCGAAATTGGTAAACTTTTTTAATAAGATTATTCAAATTTATCGGAAGATGAAATAAATTGATACATGCTTATTTGAAAATAAATATTCCATCTATTTCTATCATAATTAGATTCCCATACTGTATTTGATTCTGAAACTTCTCAATATTCAAACCTAAAGACGAAAACTTTATATAAAGTCCTATTCTATATTTTAAACAATGATTTTTTTAAAAAGTCAATCGCTATATTTTAAACTAAGATTTTAGTATCTAATATTAAAGTTCAATTTCTGGATGCTAGGTCTAAATTAGATTAAACATTTTGGACAATTAATTCTAACACTATTAATCAACTTTTTCCTTAAACTTGATCTAAGAATTAGCATTATCTTTTCTCACGTCGATAAACCCTTGCTTAACAACTTTAGGAGTTTGACCAGCAGTAGTCGCGTTAACATACTCATAGTACATTTGATCGCTATCTTCTTCAATACTAACGTGTAAAAATCCCATAGTACCCCCTGGAGAACCCCAAGTGGCACCTTTACAACCTTCCAAATCAAACTTACCTCCGGCACCCGAAGTGAAATACGTAACATGAGATGTTTTATTTGCGGTCTCCATTTCTAATACATGATTGTGACCCGCGAAATAGGCCGTCACACGGTATTTATCAAAGAGTGATCGGAGGCGAGGTAAATAATAAGGGAATGAGCATTCGCCTACTAGCCCGTGATGACCTTATTAAGCATTTGAATTGAGAAAATTTTTGCTCAATTATTTTAAAATATATTAAAAAAAAAAAAAAAAATTTAATTAAATACATACCAACAACAAAAATCCATTTAATATCTTTGACAGTCTTTAATTGTCCTTCAATCCAATTTAACCTGTCTTCAAGTTGATCGCTAGTTTTAACATTCATGGTTGCAAGATTAGCTTTAAGATCGTTCCTGTCCGTTAAATTGTCATAATAATATGCGAATGGATCGGTGTCGATATGTATCCATGCAACCTTTGTATTACGTTTTCCAAAAGTTGATATACGAACGTAATAAAGTGATGGAATGAAGAATCTCTTATCAGTTGACCAATAATAATCTACTAGCGCTGAGACGTTTGTATACCTGCATTTACATATTTATACGTATTTAATATATACATATTTAATATTTATTATAATATATCAGTTTTTAAAATGTATTAAAGCAAAAGAAAAGTTATTACCAATCGTGATTTCCAGCAATGGTGTACCAAGGAATGTCTGCTAATTTTTCAGTGTATATATCCAACCAATAACTTTTAAACTTTGGATCATCTACACTTAGAACTCCATCGTAATCATTGTCATCAACTTGATAAAAATTATCTTTGTGTAATAAAGACGGTTATATTCATTAAGAATTTAATTTTCATCTTTTATATAATAGGAAATATATATATCAAACTTACCACCAACGTTAATAATAAACTGAGAATTATTCTGCTTTGCCCAATTCTTCATAGCATCTGCAACTGATCGTTGCCCAGATCCATTTCCTTGATATCCCCAATCACCAATTACTAAAAAATCTAATTTATTAACATTATAAGTTTCTCTGAATGTGTTTGGGTATGGTATAGCAGCTGTAGGATTTATAGTTCCATTAGTGCTAGTTTTATTATCTGCATAACTTTTACTAAACAGAAGAAAAAAACATATTATAAAAGATATATTGTATATATCAAATATCCTCTTATATGAAGACTCCATTTTTTTTAAGGGAGTCTAATATCAAATATTGTTACCTAGTGACTGTTTTGGATGATTAATGAAAAGGTTGATTATTTATATCTGTATACGTATCTAACGTATTTAAATTATCAAATCAATCAACAATTGCCAAATAATATAAGGCTTTTTGATTTATACTTATTTTTGTTTCGTCTTATGCACTATAACGCAACATGTTACACGCTAATTATTCCAATTTGCGCAATAATTATCTTTTTTTCACAAATGGGAATCACCGCAAATTAAGCCTCCATAATGATTGTTGTGACTATTTTTACATGTCTAAATTACTATTATTAGATGTGACCGCCTTTATTAATAAATTATATGCATGCATAATTGCGATTATATTTATTGCTCTAGTTTACGTACATACGTACTTATCTATATCTGATCTATATCTATTACAAATGACGCCCTACATGGGAACTCCTTTATATATACAAGTCTTGTAATCTTCACCTATCTTATTAAAGTAATATTCAAGCAACTATTTTTTAGATTGCATCTTGGCAACGCAAAATAAGAAGGTGCAATAACGTTCTTCGTATTTCGCGAGCTAAACCACCCCCCTCCTGTAGAATTTTAAGGTTTATACTTGGACGTTTAATATTATCGTTTCATTGGTGTAAATTTTAACATATTATTGTACTATTTATGTTAATACTGTATTGATATCAATAAATGACTATTTAGAAAAAAGCTGACGAGTATTTACAACGGGGTATCAATATGCTATTTAATTTCTATTCTTGAGTGCCATAAATTTCGGCATCAAAACATAAGGTGTGTTAAACTAGTCTAGACGGATATTTATGTTATCAGACCCGTCTTATTACTATCGCTTTATGCATTCGCTTTATGCATTTGTTTTTTTTACTTGAATTTAGTCTATCGATATCAATATACCCAATAACCGCCTAATTACTCTAATTACTATAAAGTTCTGATAATGGACTTCTTTTAGGAAGTTTAGAACCGGTCCGAAACCAGTCGTATAACCAGTCGTATAACCAATGATATAAATCGAATGTCATTATGACACATCATGAACAAGATTTTTTTAATCGTAATAGTATATGATTTGAAAAGTGCCCGAATTTTCGTGGGCCCCTACAATTGGTTTTTTCTTGTTATAACTAGTTATACTAGTTGCTGACTAAATGTTTTTTTAAAAAATATATAAGTTATATCATTATTATTTTTCATGCCCTTGATTCATCATGTGGCCAGTGATCGCTTTACATATCAATTCATGCGAATACAATGTGATAAATATGCTGCAATCAGGCAAAAATATGCGAAAAACATGTGAAAGATGCGACTAACAAAGATTACACATAATTGTTTACCCCCAAGAATATGTTTGCTACTTTCTGATGTGATCGTATTTTGCGTTATTCATTGTCTACGTACGTACGTACGTACGTACATGTTCGAATTTTTCAGATATTAACATGACTTTCAATGTGCATTTGCGACTACGATAAAAAATTGCAAATTATGCTTATTTCTGTTCTAATTTATACATACTAATTCTGCTCCAAATTATGCAAATTCTGTAAATATACCAATTACACCATCGCACGTGCTATGCGATAAGATAAAGTTTGTGCTGAATATACTATCGCACAAGGTTTATGCTATTGCAATGTTAGTCCCCAAGTCTAGGGCTGTTAATGGAGTATTAAACTCCAGAGTAATAATAGTGTAAACATTATTTATGTGGTTTATATGCTACAGTGCGGGATAGCAAGAGACATCCAACATCTATTAATAAAACTTTAAAGTGTTATAACTTTTTTAAAACAAGCTAAATCAAA